CGGCAGGCGAGCCGGGCCGCCGCAACATGAAGATTAAGGATGCCAAGAAGCCGTGTAAGGCCGTGGGCTTCCGGGCGGGGGGCGCAGCCCGGGGGGCGCGGGGCCGGCTGGGCCGGGGGCTCTGCGTTCGACAGCTGCCTGCCGGGCCTCTGCCCGCTCCTCTGCGTCCCTTTGCATGAGGGCTCAGGGGCCGGGTGCTCTTACAGACCTGCGTTTGCGTTGGAAGGGCTTCGCTTTGGACAGAAAGTCGTGGAATCAGTTTTTTGGGGATGGGGCTGTTTTTAATGAAGATGGCGTTTAATCAGTGTACTGAACACCGGCGCAGGCACCGGTTTTTAAGGGCTAATCAACTTTTTTTTTTTTTTAAGAGAACATATTTGTTAATATCGGGGTACGAGTCTATCCTTAAAATACATTGAATGCTCCCCTTTAATAAGCAGAGCTGTAATAACATTTATTATTTTGGAGTACTACATTTGCTTTGGAGGCACAGACATGGTTCAGGTTCAGATGAATGCAAACAAAATGTCTAAGACTATGGGTACGTTTTTGTGGGAAGAGAGAACTGTATTGAGTAAAGCAAGTTTTGGTACAAGGGGTGTTTTCCCAGTGTGACATACACAACCGTGCAAGGCAACACACCTGTCAGACTTACACAGGTGAACCTTAGCTGAAAGGGATGCAGGGAGTATTCCACTGAGTTAGGCTATTTTTTCTTTGTCATCATACTTAAAGACTTATTTTCAGGGTGAGTTACTTTTATGAAAAAAAGGATAATCCTAAAGAGCTTGGCCTGCTGTTATTGTCAGTCATATGGCATGCCTGTCTAACGAACAGCATACAACTAAGAGAGTATATTGGAAGTGTATGTTTAAATATATTGTTTGAGCAGGCTAACAAGAAGAAAATCACCAAATGTATTTAACACAGGAAGTATTAGTGTAGCTCTAGAAATAGCTTTAAACATCGATTTGAGGTTGGCTGTGAAATACTTCTTGTGGTGAGCTAAGGAAACCCTGAATACACATCTTGTAACACACAATTAGCCATCAGCTTTTTTAGTGCCAGTGTGTGGAAATTGCTGAATTGACTATAATTGCGTTTATGAAGAATACAGTTCAGAGTAGAAGAGTAGGTGTTTAGAAGAGTACAGTGTTGGGTTTTTTTCCCTGATATAATATTTAAGGAATGATAGTAAAATTCTGAAGCAGTAATTGGTTGTAAGCCATTGTAGTGGTTTGGTAATTTTAAATGGTGAGAGTATGGCTGCTTCTACTGCAGAAACCTGCTCATTTCAGGAGTGTCTCTGCTGGGCCTCAAATACTTGTTTTCTGTAGTGGTAGATTTAAACCTTATTTTTAAATAGCCTTGCCAAATGTTATCAAGAAATTTTAACAGCTTAAATATGCTAAATTTGCAGTTTCACTTTTCCAATTCTTGAACCTGAACTTTGGTGTTGGTTTTATGATGGGAATCAGAAACAATTCCAACCGCATAAGCTGCGGAGAGAAAGAATACAGTGTCAAACTACGTTGTTTATTTCATCTTGACTCTGTAATGTATTTTGAAGCCAGTATCTTTTTTAGAGATAACAGCAGTTAGTATCATAGGCAATTAACTTTAGACTCATTCTGCAGATCTCTGCTCCTTGTCAGTCACACTGACTGAAGTGGGAGAGCAGCTGAATGTTTGAAGAGTCACAGATCCACGAAAGCACTGACGATGGAAAAGTCCATTGATGTTCAGGGGCTTGGTGCCCAAATACTGCCTTAAGTCCATTTGCCTTACATGCTCAAACTGACCTGAAAGCTGAGTTGGGCTCACTGTACCACTTTTGGACTGTCTAGTTACAAATTATTTATCTAAAACAGTTGTAGACACTTCTCAATACAGTTGTTTCTTAGGCGAAGTGAGTATTTAATCATCTGTGCTGGAGCCAAATTTGATGCAGGGGAAAAATGGTTAATCATTATTTAACAAGAGGTAATTAGAGTGTTGTAAGAGTCTGCAAAGTGGAATTGAGAAGGTTGCTTTAGCCTATCTGTACTTTTATCTGTGATGTTTAGCATCATGAAAGAAAGCGTGACTGCACGAAGTGCCATATCTGCCATAAGGGAGGTGAGGGTGAAATTGAGACACCTAGCAAGTTCAGAATTTCTGATGTGGATACACTGGCTAGACATGCTTGTGTGGCCCTCCCTTTCAAATCTTCACCTGGCTAGTGCTGTTGCTACTTTGTTGTTGTAAAAACTGAGAAACACAGCTGAATTTATGGAACATGGCTTCCAAGATTGGCTGTCTTGAAAGCAGCTAGTAAAGGGCTATTGAAATTTCTTCTGGAGGTGATAGGCATTTTAAAGGAGCGTAGCAGAAATTCAAGTCAGGAAGACCTTGTACTAAGTAGTTAGTGTAGGAGTGGAAGTTGGAGAGGTCATGGAGTCTCCATCCTTGGAGGATTCTTGAAAAGCTTCAGAGGTCTTCAAGTCTTGGCTGGACAAAGCCATAGTTGACCTCATCTAGTGTTGGTGATTTTCCTGCTCATGTGACTGAGAGGTTGGACTAGATGACCTCCAGAAGACCCTTCCAACTAGCAGTGTGGTAGCTCTTTTGGGGAAATGCCCATGGGGAAGAGTGGCTGGCAATTGTAAGAGAAACTTCCGAAGGTTATCTGTGGGTGGAGATGGTAAATGTGAAAGCAAAGGGTCTTGCAGAACCACTGCTGCGTGAGATCTGTCTAAAGGGAAGAGAGGAGCCACTCATCCAGAGAGAGCTTTCCGTGTTGGTGGGGGAAGGTGAGACACCCAAGAGGAGGAAAGTGCCAGCATGCTGTGCTCTTCAGGGCAGGTGGAGTCCTTCATCTTGACTCTGGAGTGTAATGGACTGCTGATGGAAGGGCAAAGACTTCTAAGATTTAGTGTGCAGTGTGTGTTACTTTTTACTGTTTGTTCTTTTAATTGTTGATGAAAAACAGTTTGAGAAAAAATGTCTGTGTTTATTGAAACAAATTGAGACACATTAATGGATGAAAGTACATAGTAGAGATTTATAAAATGCTGTATTGATATAAAGAAAAGTCGAAAATCTTGAATTTTTTCTAATGTGGTTACAGGCACATGTAGTCATTGTGGCCTCAGTGATCCCATAGAGGATTTATGTAGTAAAATTGATGAAAAATCCATTAAGGTTGCTGGGGAATCTCTTTTAAATTGATTTTTCTGTTCATAGAGCTTGCTACTTAGTCTTGTGGTATCCTAGCATTTTATCCTAGCATTATTAATCCTTGAAAGCTAATTATTAGACATAGCAGATTTTACAGGCTGTCATTTCACTGCAGTTGAAAAATGTATTTCTAATAATGGATTAATACTGGTGGGCACAGTTTATACTGTGTTTGCATCTGCAAGTGTTAGGTGATACCTCTGCATGCTGAATCTCACTGTAATAAAAACACCTATCCCCAAAGAGATTGCTGCTGAAATGTCAACAAAACTAGCAGGATGCGCAAGGAGGGAGAAGATGAAAGCAGCGATATTTTGTCTTGTATTAGCTTACATGGTATCCAAGTGTAGATGTGATAAACCTAATGAAGAGCAGTTACAGTAATTGCCGATAGCCACCTGTCCTCCCACTGGTAACTGTGGCCTGAGAGGTGGCTGAGTGGCAAAGTGTGGTGAGTTTACAGAATTTGATGTAGAAGTTTTCCCCTGAGGGAAATGGGAGAATGTGACAGTGCATGTCAGATACATTTAATTCAGGTGTTAATTCTGTCCAACTCAAATCTGTGTTGAGGCAGACTTGGGACATTTGAACCAAAAAGCTGTTACAAAACTAGTTAAGCAGAGAAGCTCTGGTGTCTCAAGGGCTAAGGACACTTGATGTGCAGTTTTCCTCTGTAGAGGCTCATAGACAAGACATCTGTGTAATGCGAGTCCAGCAAAGGCACTGTGCTGCCTAACCATCGGGCTAACCCCACTTGATTTAGCTGTTCAACAGCCTTTGATGTCTTTTCTCTTAACTTGTCCCCTTGGGCATGTTAGCTGCCTTAGACTGCTAGCTGATTTAGGTATTGGAGTTTACCATTAATTTTTACTCTTGTTTGCAGATGTTTTAGGGAAATACTGGAAGTGTGAGAACATACACATGTACATAGAAGAAAATGCATTTGGAGAAATGGCAGATAGATTTAGTTTCAGTTTCTGTGTTTATAAACATTAACTGTGCAATAGTCCAGTGTAACTTTTATATAGTTGACTTGTTTGTCTTGTCAGTAATCAGATAAGAATGGAATCAAGGTTAGCTTTATTAACAAAGGCTATGTACTGAGCTGAATTAGGAGTTAAGTTTTGTGCATCAGAACTGATAATACTGCATACTTTCATAAAGAACTGTTGCAGTGCTGGCAGAAGTGAACTTAAGTTTTCATGTGATTTCATGATCCTTTTCCTTTTCTTGTATTTTAAGCCAATATAGAACATGAGCTGCAGCACGCTTTGGTAGTTGTTCCCCAAGTCGTGTTTGCACTTGAAGTGCAACAGTCTTTCGTTTTAACAATATATAAGCTTTCTTACAAAGAAAACACAAAATCTGGTAGCCTGTTCTTTGCTGTTGCCGACAACTGTGAATTTATTTTTTTAATGGTGTAAAGCTCCCTGCTTGAATTAGGAGGCAGCTACTCTTATTTGAAGGTTAGTTCTTTTTTAATTTAATGCAGGGTTGACCCAGATTGACTTCATCTTACAATGAGAAAGAAATACTTTAAAAGTGTCTGGGTTTCAAATGTGTCATTACCTTCATAGGAAAGAGTTTACCAGTGATCTTTCTCAGTCTTTAAAAGCTAAATACAAATACAGTGTTAATCTGAATAATCTTATGCTTGATTTAATAAGGGGGAAGTAGTTAAGTCTTTTGAGTGTGTCCTTCCTGCAGCTTTGGATCCAAAACAGGCGTAGAAAATCAAAATACTAGTATGTGGTCTGGAACTTCGAAGGTCCTCTGCTCTGCTGAAGCAGAACCTATAGAAAAGGACAACAGTTCAAACTTTGTGCTTGTATTGGCATGAAAAAGACTTTCACTGTAATTATTTCCTTTTGGCATAGAAAGACCTTATATGATAAGATATAAGTAACCTTGAGATTGCTGACAGAAACTATGCACACCAAGAGCTTGAGAAGTACAAACACAAGAGAACGAAGCCTCCATTTGTATCTCTAAAAAATAATTTAAAAAAACAACCAACAGCAATCAGCATCTGTTTTCTTAATACGCAGAATTGCTACATCATTACTTGACCTCAGCACCTTGTGAGAGCATCCTTCCTGTGCAGGGAAGGACTTTTCTGTGTTTCAGGAAGCAGTTCTAGGGAATCCTCTTAAACCAGAGCTGGGGAGTGAAAGAAGAACTGGATTTGGAATTAAGGAAGTTGGATATTGTGATACTCCTCTTGCTGTCCTGTTGGAGACAGTTCAGTTTGTTTTGAAGTATCTTATTAAACCATATGAATTTTGACTTCACAGCTTGTGTTCTACTTTGCATATTTGTCTCTTCTCAGATAGTAAAAATACATATTTTATATATTCTTAAATAGAGCCTGACTTGACTTCCTATGAGAAGAATGCATGTTTTGAAGCAGTTTTGTGTAGTCTACCCAAGGCAGTTGGGCTTGTTGAGTAAAAAGCTTGATTCCTGCTTTCCTTTTTTCATATTGCAGCTGACCTCTACAGAGGGGAGCTGAACGTTGAAAAGACAGGGCACTGGGTTTGTTCAGTGAATAGCAGTTAAATTCTCAGCAAGGAATACTTCTGAGCTATGCATCACTTTTTGTGGAGTCTTCATAGGAATAGGAACAGTTAAAAAGAGCTGAGAAAAATCTTTTAATCACCAAATCCCCATAGAGCTGCAGAAAAAGCCCAGTTTTAATGCAGGTGCATTGATTGTCCTTATGAATTGAAGCTGTGGAGTGACGGTTACAGTTGCAGAAGTCCTCAAACCTGGTATCTGCAGAGATATAGGCTTGGAACAAAGGTCTTGCAATTGGTATTAGTCTCATCCAGGCATGTTTCTTTAAGTATGACTGCAATAAGGATTAAGCTGATGTCTCAGGATCTTTTTTTTCAAAAGATTGTGTTGCCATCCTTCTGCTTCTAAATTTCTGACTCAAAGAAGTGTGACCCACAGATATGAGTATAAAAATACTTTTTATAGAATCATTTATATATTATCAGCCCAAGGTATATGCCACGCTATTTTTGTCTTGCTCCAAGACAGCTTTCAAATACAAGACTGCCTCAGAATTAAATTTTTCATGGATTTGAGAGACTCTACCAGCTACAGATGCTGGTTTATGTGCTGCAGATACCAAGTAAGAGTGAAAACTCTTGTGTTTCAAACATGCCTCAAAGAGTGGCAACATCACCTTAAGCAGAGTGCTTACATATGTGATGTAATGCAATGCTCAGGTTCCTTATATGTGCAGCACGACTTAAAGTAGACGTGTCATCTTCAGCCATTGCCATAATTAGCCTGGTTGCCCTCTGGATGGAAAGTCTTGTAGGAAACTCAAGTGTGCTCTCCATACTATATATTTTGAGTAGTTCTCCATCCTGAATCTCTCTGTGGCCTTATTTCTAACCCTGCCAGTGAAATAACTTTTTCAGGAACTGGAAGAGGATCTGATGTTTCCACACGGGTTCCTCTTTTCTCCATTCCCCCCGCATCCAGATAGGAAGGGTGCTGAGCCAAGATCCACCCAAAGCAAACTGATTTGAAGACTACAGCAATAGGAGGAGAGTTCACAAGTTTACAATGTTGTGTCCATGCACAATTACATTCTAACTCTGTAGAATCAGTGTATTTGTAATATTTAAAGGTAGCTCAAGCATAGATAAATCTTTTATCCTTGCAGTCCCAAAATTGCAGCTACAGTTCAACTGATTGTGCACTTGCCATATATACGTATTTGTAGCCCCTTCTGTGTTTGGAAAACAAAATGGCTTTAATTTTCCTGGCTAGACTTGTACATAGATCAGTCAAGAGTGTTTTTTTCTACACAAGGATCCTTGTGTAATGTCTTCTCCTGGGTTGCTGGTGTAAGGAGTAAGTTAACAGTGTGTGGGCCCAGTTGCTTGTCAGAACTCCTCCACCTTGCAAATGAAACTTGAGCAATATATTTACCAGCCAAATCTTGACAAATTTTCAATAGAAAAATGTGAAACTTCTTGGGGTTTGTCACGGAGGTGAAAACTGACCTATTTTTTCAGTCTCAAAATCTTTAAATTGCTGTTAAGGTCACTCACTTAACCCAGAAAACTGATATTGTACAGCATGATCCCATTTTTCAGCATAAAATATGTTCTCATTTGAATTATGGAATAAACTTCCTTACAGTTCAACTGTTCCTATTTTTTACTTGGTGTACAAGATTCATAAACCTCTAGATTTTCAGAGATGTGACTAATGCTGTATTTGCAAAAGCGTTTTGAATCATTTAACGTGGGATAGATCTTCTGATAAGTAGGCATGACTTGCACCAAGTCTTCCTTAAGCTCATCACTTGAACTTTCAGCTCTTTCCCCCTCTCTCTTGTTGTTGAAGACTAGATCCTAGTTATTCCGTAGGCCCACTGAGCAGGAAGAATCCCAAGTATTTTAGGTAGTAGTTGGCTTCCTGTGTCCTAGTGAAATTCTGAATGAGTTGGATTGACTCCTACAGACACTTTCTGTGGCATGAATCAACTTCCCTTCTTCAATTTTGGTCTTGTGACATTATTTATGACAAGAGGATGAAACTTAGTGAGATCACTTAATAAATCATCAGTTAATTGTGGTCAAAGAGTATAATCACAAATTTTCTTATGTCCAGAGTCACAGTGCAGAGAAGTTGGTATGCAGCTGTAAAATCAATTCATATGTGACTTTATGCCTAGTCTTATGCTTCAATCTCCACTTTATAGATCAAATGTCAGGTTTATAGAACTTCATTCCCGCTTGGAGCTAGACTTTACTTACAGAATTTATCCTTGTGTTTAAATTTTGTTTTTCAAGATTAGCATGGTTACTGACTCAATCTTTTTTGTTACTATCTGACAATATTCTCCAGACATCCATTCCTGAAAGTTGAGGCAACTTTTAAGATTCTGTTCTTTTCTACTTTTGCACTTATGTTATAAATGAACTAGGACGCAGCCAGCCTTGACTAAATGCATTAAAATATTTTGGTAGGCAATTCTTAGGGGTGGATCCCACTGGTAATGTAAATCCAAGATAATTATATCTTACTCATTATGACTATCTTAATATCTTTTTAGTTTTCTTCCCGAGTTTCATGCTTCTATAATATATGAATTGCATCTGAAGAAATAAATTGGAACTCTACAGAATATATTTAAAAAAAAACCAAAAACCAACCCACCAAACAAATAAAAAAAACCTCAAACAACCCAACAAGTTATAGTGTCAGTTAGGAAATAAAAAATACCAGCTTCCCAGCGGGATGTTCAGTATCTTTCTTAAACTTACAAATTAAGATTTAAACACTGTTTCTGTGAGATTACAGTGGGGGAAACTCTGAGATGAAGACACTGTCTTTGCTGTAGGGTTGCTGAATATCTGTTTAGGCGCACACAGTTAGGAAGATTTATTGATACAGGCGTATTCAAATCATGATCCTAGATGACATAAACCATACAATCCTTGTTAGAAATTGCAGTCATGGAACCTAGGTTCAGTAATACTCATTTTTTATCTTAAGTACTTCTTAATAGTACTTTTTGTTAACCCTTTGTAACTTTGAGGGATATATGAAGAGCTCTATTCAGTTTCATAAACTGGACATCTTAACTGTGTCAATTTTTAAAATACGTGCAAATAAACTAATGCTTCCCTTTCAAATGAAACACGTTAAATGAGCAAAAGAAAACTGTTAGAGGAGGAATACCTGTCCTGCCAGCGTTGTCAGCTGTAACGTGTCACTGGCTTTCTCACAAGTGGGCATTGCTGTCTTTGTGCTAAGCTATGTCAGAGCTATTTAGGAGTGAAGATTATTTTATGCTTTGTTCTTTTTTTAAAAAAAAAAAAAAAAAAAAAAGTTGGATTTTGTTTATGAGTTGATAGGAAATATATGGTATAGTTTGGGGAGTTTTTAGTTGGGCTTTCTGAGCACATGTGACAGCATTTAAATGTGTAGAGTTGCTCATTTTTCCATTTTACCTGTGGCCAGAGGGATATTTAAGATCACGTAATGGAAATAAGTACTAATTCTTTGTTCCTGTGAGGATTTTTGTTAATATCTGTCCTGTTGAAAAGTATAGTGTTGGTTTAGTCTTAAGTTATGTGTGTTGCTTTTGCTGTTTAACAAAGCTAATAGATCAATTCTTATATCTGCACAGCTTTTCCATGGTTTGGCATGGACATTGGAGGAACTTTGGTGAAACTTGCATATTTTGAACCAATTGATATCACTGCAGAGGAGGAGCAGGAGGAAGTTGAAAGTTTGAAGAGCATTCGCAAATATTTGACTTCCAATGTAGCCTATGGATCCACTGGCATTCGAGATGTCCACCTTGAGCTGAAAGACTTAACGATTTTTGCTAGAAGAGGAAACTTGCACTTTATTCGATTCCCAACTCATGATTTGCCTACTTTTATCCAAATGGGAAGAAATAAAAACTTTTCAACACTACATACGGTGCTTTGTGCCACTGGCGGTGGTGCTTACAAGTTTGAAGAAGACTTTCGCACAGTAGGTAGCCTGTCTTTCCTTGTACTGAAGCTGATGGTAAATATTGCTGGGTTGATGGGTTAAAATAAGCAGTATTTTGAAAAACTATGTAATACTCAAAGATTAGTAATTATTCATTTGTTTTTCAGTCTTAACTGTGATAATCTAGAAATACGCTTTCTGACATCATAACATACAGGAAGATCTAATGCTAACAACTAATTAGAAACTTCCATTAATGCAGTGAAATGCAGGACACTTTTGTGGAAGTTAACCATTTTCTGATCTGTATTTTCTCTGATGGGAAATGTGCTTAAACTGCTGGTGCTTGAGTCACACTGAATTTTATTTCCTAAGCAGTTTCTGATGATAGATTTTCAAAGTTTGTCAGCAGGATTATCCTCATTAATTTAGTCCAGTGCTTTTTTTAGAGATCTGTTACAAAACATGTCTGAAGACAGTCCTTTTTCAACTGCAAAGCAGTTTGAGATTTTCCTGAGTGTTTAGACTCTTCCGCTGTGATGATCTTTGATCAAAATTGATCATCTGTTTACATACCTGAAGATAGTTGTTACTAACTGAGAATCTTATCATAGTACCCAGTGTGCACGTGTCCTAGTTTTAAAGTGGCTGCGGACCTCTTGTGCTTCTAGAGACAAGAAGACTTTCAATAGCACAAAATGTTTGGTTTCAAAAATCTACTTGTGTTTCCATTCCTGTGCTAGTCTTACCTTGAGCTGGTACAACCGTTTGTGAGGTAGGGTCACAGTTTGTGCAGTAGAGCTAATTCACTATCTAAAGCCCCACAGAAATGTTTTGTGTTGGAACAGTTTCCTCCTCTGCTCAACAGTGAAGCTTCACAGTTGTGCTATGGCAAGAAAAGCTGAAGGGACCTGGGGGAAGAGGAGGGGACTGTCAGTGCTGTGATCTGGTATTCACGTCAGTCAGCAGTGTGCAATCCCATCTGACTGTGCAACTCCGTAATCTAACTGCAGGCTGCTTTCTAAATGTGAACGCATCTGATTCAAAGAGAGACTTTATGGGTGTCTTTTCTTGGATTAACTGGCTAATTGGACTCTCTTAACAGTTGGAACTCCCTGCTGTGGTAAGAGAGAGAGCGATCACTTGTTTTGTGAAAGCCCAGGGTTAAACTGTATTAAGCATGATGTGAAATTACAGCCTTCCTGGAATCCACAGCACCTGTTAAATTGTCTTTCTGCTTTGTGTCATGTGCAAAAACTGAGGAAGAACTGTGGCAAGCCTAAAGCCCTGTATAATATCTGAACTGTGGTTTTCTTACGATCCTTGGAGTGTTAATAAAGTTGCAAGGATAGTTAGTACAGTGCCACTGAGGTTTTTATCTGCTGACATCTTAAAAATGACTTCTGAGCTAGGCAGCCAAACCCACAAACCTGAAAAGATGTATAGATGTGTGTTTCACCAAGATGACACTCAGTGGGGCCTCTAGGGTATTTGGTGACCTTTTTTTGGTTTAGATTGAAAAATTAAAGCGTTTAAGGCCAGGCTGGATGTGGCTTTGAGCAACCTGGTCTAGTGGAAGGTGTCCTTGCTTGTGGCAAGGGGGTTGGAACTGGATGATCTTTAAGGTCCCAAAGCATTCTATGATTCTACGTTGTTAGTTTTTCAATGGATTGATGTCTGAGTATCTCAGAAAGTTATTTTTGGGCTTACCAAAGCAGATATTTGTACTGCCTATTTGTTCTGAATTCAAGTCTGAGATCTAGATTTAAAGAGTAATTTGCTAATTGATGTATTCAGAATTTACCTCTGAATTCTTTGTTGGCTTTATAGTGGGATTGAAGTTCCTGAATTGGTAACTTGAGATTGCTTTCTAAAGTTAGGCAGTACAAATATAGTCATAAATTTTTAGCATGTTTAAGCAATGTTAGAACATGTTGACATTGTCTTTTTTTTTTTTTTTTTTTTTTTAAACACAGATTGGAAACCTCCAGCTGCACAAACTGGATGAGCTTGACTGCCTTGTCAAAGGCTTATTGTATATAGACTCTGTCAGCTTCAATGGCCAGGCAGAGTGCTATTATTTTGAAAATGCCTCAGATCCTGAGAGATGCCAAAAGATGCCTTTTAACTTGGATGATCCATACCCATTGCTGGTTGTTAACATTGGTTCAGGAGTCAGTATTTTATCTGTCCATTCCAAAGACAACTATAAAAGAGTAACTGGAACAAGGTAACTTAAAAACCTAAGTTGGGGTTGTTACTCTATGGAACAATAAGCCTTCTATTTTCAAAGTGGTTCCTCTCCCTGACTCCCCCCACCTGTCCATTCCCTCACTCTGTACTATGGAAAAGTATTTTATATTTAATTTACAGCTGCATGCATTGAAGCCCATCCCTGTAGTTCTGTTACTGAGGAGATTTAGCCAACATCTTCTTTATCAATCGATGAGTGCTAGAAGTGCTCTGTAGTGAGAGTTTTGTAGGATTTACCTTAAGTTTTGATAATGTATCCAGTGAGCCTGTGTTTCTCTTGCTCCATAAGAATAAATATGTCCCCACATTTTACAGAAAATTACCAAGGAACAGAGTCAGTGGCATGATGTGGGTATTTAAGGAGTTTGAGTGTCTGATTAAGTCTTCCAGTTTACATTTTTGAGAGTTTATAACCGTTTTTTAACTCTTTCTGTATGGTTAGCTTATTGTAAGTGACTTAATGAACGTTTGTGTGGTGAACCTTGAGCAAGAAAACAGCTTGGTATCTAAGTTGGAGGTGTTTGTTTGTTTATTTTGTTTGTCAAACATAGGAGTCTCTGATGTGAGGAAATACTCCTTAAAAGCAACTAATTTTCTTTCTTAGTCTAGGCGGAGGGACCTTTCTGGGTTTATGCAGTTTGTTGACGGGCTGTGAAAGCTTTGAAGAAGCTCTGGAAATGGCATCCAAAGGAGACAGCACACATGCTGACAAGCTGGTTCGAGATATTTATGGAGGAGACTATGAAAGATTTGGCTTGCCAGGATGGGCTGTAGCATCCAGGTAAGCAAGAGTTCTTTTTCTTGGTTCTTTTGCTGGTTTTGGGGGTTTCAAAACCAAGACTTAGTCTGTTAATACAGAGAAAACTGCTTTTTGCACACTTTTATTGTAATCAAGTTATGTTTTCATCCTAAAAGTATATATACTCAGTTTTCCTGAAGATTAAATGCCAGATGCAACTGAACGTGCCTGCTAGCTAGGTATTGAAGAAACCTCATGTGGTATGTCATACACAGCTTTACATGAGGCAGAGGGAATGTGAGGTGGTCACAGGAGTGGCAAGAACAAAGTGCAGAGGAAAAACAAAGCAGATTACTTTTTGACTCCCTAGAATCTTTTCGTAGGGCTGTTGTTCAGAGGGAAGGTGAGCGGAAGACTGCAGTTTTGTTGCTGTTACAGTAGTATCTCTTTGGTTTTTTTGGAAAGACACTGCTTTTATATATATATATATATATTTATGTGGTTGTCAGTACAGGCACCTGGCATAATGTTTTAACTACTTTTCTCACTTACAAAAGCTGTGGAACATAAACAGTTTGCACCATGAGAATGAGTGTATTTTACTGACGATTACAGAGGACTTTTGTCATAGCTGCAAGTTTTATTTCCACTGGGGGAGATTATTAGTGATACAGTTAGAAGTTACAGCTTCTCTACCCTTAAGGAATGTAAGAAGAATAAACTCTGGGAGTGAAGCTAATATGTATGTAAGAAAGTTCATAAAATCTTTGCTCTTATTCAGTAGAAAGAGGTCTTAATTCATGGTAACTTAATTCTCCCTCTCCAGTCAGCTGAGTCCAAACCTTTTCAGAGAGTATATGCTGACAGGTTTTAATATCTGCAAACTTTACACTCTTAGACAATACATCTTAACTCGCTCTTTATATAGGTACTTTTTGTTCTGATTTACTGTTTAAGTCCCTTTAATGATCTTTAATGACTATTTGAGTTTTAGAATAATCAGGATTCTGGCTCTCCAAACTGACATGGATATGGCACAGAGTCCTGAGTGGTAAAATGTCATGCATAGCTATAATCTTGCCTTGTTTTTTCTTTTTTTAAAATTTGTAAGAAATGATCTACCATGTATAGTAGCTGTTTATTTTCTGTTCCAGAAGACTCTGTCCCATCATAAAACCATTCAACTCATCTCTGTTTTCCTTCTACTTTGAGAATAGATGATTGGATAGATACTGTGAGAGAGGAAGCAAGCATGAGGAATTGGAGGATTCACCAGACTTAGGCACTGACTTAATTTACAGTGACTAGGTTCACAGAGTAGCCTTGCCTAAGAATAAGACTACTTTTTGCTGTAGATACTTCTTCATGAAAGTCAACAATCTAAACAAAAATATTTGGGGGGGTCATTATTGTAACAATATTGACTGTTTCCTGTGAATAAATAAATACACTCATCATAGTGTCAGTTGTCAAATTGCTGAATTTAATACAGGCTTAGAAAGGGAGCTCCTTAGGAACAAACTTGAGACTTAAGTTCTGTCATAGCATAAAAATTACATTCTGAAATTACTTCAAATGCACATTAATCACTTTGTACTTAATGGAAATTTTTCCTGTTATAGTTTTGGGAATATGATCTACAAAGAGAAGAGGGAGTCTGTTAGTAAAGAAGATCTTGCAAGAGCCATATTGGTCACCATCACCAATAACATTGGGTCCATTGCCAGGATGTGTGCCGTAAATGAGGTAAAAACTTCTGCCAAGGAAGTAATCTGTCTATAGGTCTGTTATTTGATTTCAGGTCAAATGACTGCTAAAATGATGTATCATTTTAAACCTTTTAGTATGTTCTCAAATGACATAAAGAAACTAGTGTAGTGTTAAAGAACTAGGAATTGGTTCAGAATATTTTGACTGTCTTTGCAGAAGTGGAACAAGGATATCTTTGCCAGTGGAGAGGGTAGGCTTCAAACTAGCTTTGGTAGGGAATGGAGCCTGCAGTAAGTGAGGGTGCAGGGGAGCACAGGATGTTATGATGAAAGGACTTGATTGTTCACCTAACTTAAGTCTCTGTACTCAGACACATACAGCATGGAATACAAGAGGTCCTGTCAGTCCTGGCTCTAATGAGGAACTATCCCAGCCTCTACTGGAAGGGTAATGTGGCAGATCACAAGCAATCCATACTTCTCAGTGTGCTGGGGACAATTTTCTGACACAAGTGCTATGCTGGCTGACTATGCAAGCATGGTGCTATACCTGCTATTCATGAGTGAAGAAGTGGTCAGGGATATCAGTGACAGCCTTGAAACAGTAGAGGATAAGGTCCTGAGGAAAGTGAAGAAAGCAAGTAGCAGAATGGAGACTCTGGATCGATTTGAGTAGAATAGGATTCTGGTTTTGTGGGGATTTAGGACGCAAGATGTTGTGGAAGGTGTCCTAATAGCATAAGGAGCCCAGAATAGCTCGTTGACCTTCCAGGACAGCACCTTCACAGCAAAAGCAAAAGGTGGCACTTTCGACTGGCTAAGGAGAAGCATTGCAGAAGAGAACAGGGTGCTGGCAGACAAGTTGACGTGAACATGAATCAGTAGTGTATGTGTGCAGTGGTGAAGGCTGGCCTCGTACTGAGATGCATTAATGAGGTCATAGCCAGCAGGGCAGAGGAGGTGATACTTTGGTCATATGACCTCTTTCCCCCTCCTCCCTGACCACCACCATTGCCAAAAGAGAAGCGCTGGCAAACTAGAACAGATCTAACAGACAGGTTACTGAGACAGGAGCACCTACCATATGAGCAGGCACTGAGGAATCTGGGTTAAGCCTGAAGACGAAGCTGAAGCCTGGAGTGACCGTCTATCTAGAGGTGGTTGCAGGGAAGACACTGCAAAGTACAGCCATGCATAGAAGAAGGATTGGAAGCCATGAACATAACTTGTAGCAAAGGGAATTCTGATTGGTATAAAGGAAAAAAGATGCTCACAATGGGAGTGGTTAAGCCCTGAAACATGGACTGAGAGAGAGACTGTGGACTCTGTCCTTGGAGAGTTTCAAAACATCTGACCTGAGCAACTTACATGTTGAAGTTGCTGAAAAACCTGCTTTGGGCAATGCACAGGACCCAGTGACCTCCAGCGGTTTCTTAAACTGAAATTATTCTCTGATTAAAGCTCGTAGAAGGCCTTGCTTCTAGTTAAGCATTATTTTTAATTTTTACCAACTCTTGAGAATTCAGATTTTTGACACCTGTCTTCTTACTGATTGATACAGAGATGGTTTCCTGCTGTCTTCTGTTTCTCAAAGCCCTGCTAAACAGAACTGGTATGTGTTCAGTTTCAGTATGATGAGCATGGACAGGCAAAAACCTGTGGCAGATTATTGAATATAGGCGCAGAAGATATGGGTTTTTCTCATTCAGATTTTCCCATTCATTATCAAAAAAATTTGGATAAAGTGAGGTTTAGTAACAGCTTTCTTAGAAAAGACTCAGGGTAACTATATTTAGAGTTCTGCTTAAAATATATGGAGTTAATAGTCTCAGAAATATCAACAGCATTGTTAGCTGCAGTAACCTTCCTTTTGCTTAGGAGCCAAACTAATATATTCTTCTGGGTTTAATATTGCAAGTTCTCCCTCAATTTCCTTATCTTTCTCTCATGTCTGTCTTGGAGAAGAAAGTTAATTTTTTGGGTATTGAGTTAATCTGGCTTTTTTGCTGTATGGCAAAGCTTGATAACAAAAGAGTTAAAACGGGGGTGAGGTTGAAAGTACGTACTATTAGTCTGAGGCATATTTATGCAATTTATATTTAAGAGTGAGAGTAAATGGGTACTCATAAACAGTGCAAATTAGCTTTATTCCAAGGGGTTTTTTGGTTTAATTCCAACTATGTCACAGAACTACAAATTGTAAGAAATGGTTAATAGAGATCTGCAAACTAGTATCTTGAACTAATGTATAAAGATAAAATGGATTTAATTATTTTGACTTCCTGCTGTAGAGCAAAATTATGTTTGATTTGGTGCCTTAATAGTGTGTTTATTTTGTCTTCACTGTGAACTAATCAAGACAGTGAAAACCAGTTGCATATTAGTCATTTGAATACAGGTTTAATTGTCATTCTGTTTTTTGTAGTGATTTGGATGTGAGTATTCATCTAACAAAATTAAGCCCTTATTTAAGCACTATGTTAAGCACTAATACAATTAAATTTTCTTTGGTTCTTGCTCTCATCATTAAACCAGTGTTTAATGTTGCTTCCACTTAATGGTGGATTTATTTCAGTGAATAGGGAAAATGGAATGATTTTTCACTTTTTTTTATGTTTGACTTGATTAAAATTCACAGCTCACTTCTCATATTTAAGTCTTAGTCTAATCTTATACTGAGGTACATTGAGGTCTGAAGATGAAAGGAACATCTGTTATGTCTTACTGTCTTCGGCTTCTTTACAGTGCTGCCTTGTTGCATATGGATCAAGCAGCATTGTACAGGGCTATGAAGGCATTGAGTCTTCTCCACCAAATATAAGTATTTTTCATTAGATTTCACTTTTAGCTGGACTGTTTATTTGGCTTAGTTACTGAAAATACTCACTTAATTTGAAACACAAATGCTACTTCTCTGTAAATCAAGTCTCTTGATTCTTGAGCGTTGCGTGATTTTTCCTTTTCCTCAAGTATGCTGTGGTTTAAATTTTGGAACCATGTTTTAATTGTGGGTTGTTTGGGAGGGTTGTTTTTGTTTTTTGTTTTTGTTTTTCCTTGCTGCAGACAGTCTGTTCTTTCATAGCTTAATTTTTCAAAACTGTGTTAAACAGTGAAAAGACTTAATCCTTTGCTGTTTTTCTCTTTTTAGAAAATAAACAGAGTTGTGTTTGTTGGCAATTTTTTACGTGTGAATACTTTGTCAATGAAGCTTCTTGCGTATGCACTGGATTACTGGTCAAAAGGCCAGCTGAAGGCCTTGTTCCTAGAGCATGAGGTATGCTGTGGTTCATTTATCTGTATGCATTGTTTTAACATAAATCAAAAATGCATGTATTGAGGAGCTCTCACACATGCGATAACCTGAGATGCCAAGGACTCAGTAGACATGGAAAATAAGGGGAATTTTCTCATCCTGTATTGGTTCTCTGGAGATAGCGCTCTCTTCCAGGGAAGCGCTTCACTCTCTTTGGGGTGTCTCAGTTCACGCTATAGATTTTTGGAGAGGGACAAAAAAGCATGAAGTTCTGCAGTAAAGTCAACAATCTTTCTTTGGCTTTGGGTGGCAGCAATAGTAAGTATTGTGTTTCAAAAGACTGCAGAGAGATCTAAAGCATGGGCCTTTGAAATACTTACATTGTTCTCAGTGCAACTTGAGCAACATCCTGCAAGTTGAGACTGCTTTAACAAGGACTGCTTGTCCTGCCTGAATGCAGTCCTGTGCAACTTGCTCTAGGTGAACCTGCTTTGGCAGGGGGGTTGGACTAGATGATCTTCTGAGGTCCCTTCCAACCCCTACGATTCTGTGATTCGTTATTGCCACACAGATACACCTTAAAGTTGTTGCAGTGATTTTTATGCTCTGAGACTAACTTGCTTTTGGGCAGCTTCTGCAATCTAGATCAGTATGTAATACAGGAGAACTGACCTGCTCTGGTTAAAATGTAGGCAATCAGTATTAAATACAGGTGCAACAGTTGAGAGACTTGTAGCTTTTTGGCAGTGGGCTAGCAATTTTTGTCCTCATTTTTGGTCTGCAAATATTAGAGTATTGCATCTGATCCCCTTCAGTTGATTCTCACAACTTTTTTCCTTTATTGTTTATCCTGACACTGACAGTAGCCTGTCTTGGTGCTAGTGTCTGCAGTAATAGCAGAATGGTTCCTTGTTAGTTCTACCCTCTTCAGATTTTTCTTGGATATATTTTAAATTCTTGCTTTTGGTCAAGTGTAGATTCCAAACACTTATATTTCATAGTTACAGGGAGGGGGAATATCTCGTTTCCCCAGAGGAGAAAAGTAGTCCAACAGGAGAACGTGGGGGGTTTTGCATGCAGGTAAGTATACAGTCCAAAAAATTATGTTGAAGCTTGGACATAATTCTTAAAAAATGTGAGGTGCAATTAGTTTAAGAAAATTTTGACTTGTACCTTAGCAATAGTGTTGCTATCAGTATTGAAGATCCTTTGGCAACCAAAATATGTAGCACAAACACAACCTGATTTCAGTGCTTTAGGAGTCAGTGATACATGTCTTAGCAGTGCTGCAGTGTATGGAGAAGCTTGAGGTGAAATCTCCTAAAGTTAAGCTAGATACGGATAAAATGTTAGTTTCACTAGATTTTCAAAAATTGTTATGAAAGTTTATGCATTAGAAGTGTATGATGATCTTTCTGTAGTATTGGTCCACCAGATGCTTTGTTGTCATTGAAACATGATGAGTGCAGAATTTAATACCCTACTTGAACCTGAAATATTTTTTTGTTTGTTTCAAACAGGGATACTTCGGAGCTGTTGGTGCTCTTCTTGGGCTGCCAAATTTCAGTTGAGATACCAGATGTCGCTACACTGAACTGTTTTCCACCTGAATTATGCTTTTTTATGACAATGGGAACTAAACCTGGGGAGGGGAGAAAAAAAATAACAGATTTTCTGTAACTGTTTTTTAGAAGTGATGAGCTACTGAATATTGCCATTATAAGGAAGGGGTTTTCACTCTGTTGGGCATTGAAAAGTTAAATGTTTGGTGATGTCATTTATGTTCTTTGGTACGTGTAGCCAGTATTGAACTTCTAATATGCAATACATCCTCTGAAAACAAGCTTCCAGAAGAAGGAATGCCAATCCTTTAAGTGCTCAGTTTGAAAAAATTGCAGGTTTACTCCTGAGGCTTTAGGCCTGTAAGTTTTGTGTATAATTAATGAGAGAAAAATTATTTTCATTAGTTATACTGTATTGTTAGCAGAATTTGCCATGTGTACTTACAGAAAACAACTTTAAAAACAGTAAGGTACTATCTGCAACATGAGGAAACTGTGGACAATTGCTTTCCACAGTAAGAATAGTAATTATTTTTGTGCAAGGGAAATAATATCAATGCTCTAATTTTCAGTGGGAAGAATAGAAACAAAAAAATCAGCCAAAGCAGCAGATTAAGGGGTTGATGTTTTGAAGGTATTTTGGGAAGATCCCTCTGTCTTTGGTTGGATTTGGAAAATAATGTAGTGATTAGGGAAGGCAGGTTTTTGGGGTTGGGTTTTTTGTTGTTGTTGATGATTTTGTTTGTTTGGGGTTTGGGTGTTTGTTTTTGGGGGGTTTTTTTTTGAGGGCATGACTTCCAAAATACTTTCTGGTTTTTTGGTCTGTTATAAATTGTGACATACATCATTATTTGTAAAGGTACCACAAAGCCTGAGAGGATTGAAGAAATCCTTATAAAATAAACAAGGGACCTCATAATTTTGATGCTTTGGCTCATTTCAGTGGAGGTTTGGAAAGTTTCTGCCCCATCCTACTAGTCTGAAAATGTGATTTCTCCTTAACTTTATAAGAGTTAATCAGAATCTAATTAGGTGTTGAAATGAAAGATCGTTAGCTTGCTTTTGGATTTGGAAGTTTGTTTTTGAAAGTTGAGGACAGTATCAGAGTTTGTATTGCAGCATCAAACGGACCAATATTTAGTGCACTTGCAATATGGAACTGTTCATCAAATTGTGGCCTTGGGATAAAATCCGTACTCTGGAACTGATCTTTGGGTTTTTCTGGATACTTTTAAAATTTACAGTTGTGGTTATTGTAATAAGTTTAGTCCTGAAACCAGGGCATGAGATCTTAAAACTTGTAAGAATATTATACAGTCATTAGCTGTGTGACTCTTTGTGGACTAAAGAGCTACCCAACTTTTTGATATCATCTTAATGTTAAATATGTCCTGTAAGTGCATGAGGAGCAACCAGACTAGAACACATTCCTATGTTGGGTTTTAAGGTGTTTTTAAAATTGATTGCTCGAGTATTCCACAGCATGGCTGTGTTGTATTCACAGACACCTAGTGTGTTAGAAACCTTTATGTGCTATTTTCAGTCTTCTCATTCTTTTCTTAAAATTCAAAGCCCCATACTAACTTTAAAAAAAAAAAAAAACTGTGGCCCTTTAAGAGTACATTAACTTAGAGAAGCCAGTGCATTAAGCCCAATGCCAATTGCAAATGTAGTTCCATTTATTGTTGCTTTTCCTGGTACTCATACAACATTTCTATTGTGCTTGCTTTGATATTTTGTTTTAAACATTAACAAAACCCCAAAAATTACACTCACAGTTCAACTGATGTAATGCTAAATCAGAGCACTTCAGAAAATAAGTGAATATGTTTTTTTCTAGAATGTCTTTTTAAATGCTGTATACTGTTCCTTTTAAGTTCCAATTGACTGTAGAAAGTAACCTCTACTTGGTTATAAAACTTTCAAAAACTTAATTTTCTGAATGGTTTGACAGCCTCCTGAAAATTTTGCAAACCAGCTGCATATTTTTCTTGCAAAGTGAAGTACTTTAAGACACATACTACATCTTGATTAGAAGCAGTTCCTTTAGACTGTATTTATTGCTACTTCATTTGTTTTGTGATACTGAAAGAGAGTTGCTCTTGAAGCAGTAGTTAGAATTTACTTGTATATTTAACTAGAAGCACATGTGGAAGGTGATTACCTGATGACCATGGTTAATTTAAACCATTTGAAGTTGATATGACCCAAGATAATTTTTTTAAGTAAATTGTACAGTGTTACAGAATAAATTAATGGAGTAATTCTTGAATAGTACGGTATAGAAACTACTGTGAGAATCAAAAAGTATGTCCTACCTCTCTTTTACTTCCCTTGAGCGTCTAAAAAAAATTGGCTTCCTTCTTCTAGTTTTATCAGCACAGTTGTTTCTCCATTACAAGAGCAACCAGAGAAGTTTTCAAGCCCTACTGTAAGGCCTAGATGTCCTGTATTTAAGCCACATCTTTGAGTTTTATCTCATTTTCTCTCAACTTAGAACTTGTTACTAGGGCCTCCAAAGATTGACTCTACCGCGAGTAGAAATGCTAGGCATCACACGTAGTTGGAAGATAAGCCTTAAAGTCCTTTCATCTCAATTATCTTCTAAATAGGTTGAAAAGGCTTGTTTCCTTTATACAAATCACAGAAGTAACATGCTTTTTCCTGATCTCTGTTTTTACTTTCACCCTTTCTGTTTCTTTTCCTCAAAGCTAACTGGTTGAAGTGGCTTTAGAGTTAATTGATTCAGCGAGATGTACTACAGTAGAGAAAAATTGTGGTTTTCTCAGGGCTACTGTTGTCTTTTCAAGTGGAACCATTTCTCTAGAGGAAAGCTGGTGATATTTCTTGTTCTAAAGTAAAATGTAAAGCTCATTTTGAATGTGTAATCATTCTCAGCTCAATCAGCCATGTGAGTGCCTTTTAATTTTTTTATATAATGCCAATTTTGCTGGTACTGGGACTTTATCCAGGAGGTTTCCTAACCAGTGTTGCTTACCAGAGAAATGACAGATAATGTTATTGGCCATGGAGATGATCCCTTCAATCCAGTGTAGCTAGAGATGCCAGGAAAACAGCATCAGGTTTCTGGCTTCTTATCCCTGTACCCTTTCGTTGGGCTAATGCATCTGCATTTCTTGGCCTCATCCTTCCAGCTTGGTCTTTTAAGTATTGCGCACAGTTTTATTGTATCAATATCTCCCTAAAAATCATACAAGTTCTTAGTCAGATAAGTACAGATTATTTCTGGCCAAAGAAGTTCATTTTTAGATGAAGCTATTCCAAGTTGGTATGGCTATTAAACTTAACCACTTTCACCTTTCTGTTTCTACTAGGGTAACTGCAATTTGAACAAGAAGGGAACTTTGACAATACATTTTGAATATTTTTAGCAAGCTGGAATGAATACATTTCGGCATTCTTCACTGAAGCTAGCAGAGGTTTAAGTATAAAGACTTTTTAATTCTTTTAGTAAAGCCTCAATAAATTAAACAGTTCAGAGAGAAGCAGCACTTTATTTGTCTTATAGTTTGGTCCAGATTTTCGAAGGGTATTCACATGTCTGACCTGCCTTTTGAAGATCCTTCCCCCTCTCTGTAGCATTCTGCAAGCAAGCACCCGTGTGATTCTGCCAACACCTCCATTCATATTTTAAGAGTCACAGTGTGGAAAAAATATGAGACCATGCTGTCCCACTTACTATCAGCCTGTATATGAAGAGCAAAAGTTCAGTTCTGGCTTCTCTCAGCAGATTCAGTAGTACCGTGAGATTCCTGCTTGCATTTGAGTTGTAGGTAGTACATACATGCAAGGTGATTATATTGCCTTTAAGGGTTGGAATACTAACTCTTTGTCTCTATCCAGTATAGGTCTTCAGGAAATGCCTACTCCAGATAAGTTGCAATAACTTCTCATTTCTAAATGTTTCAGAATAGCAGTGGAGTTTTAACATTTGGAACTAATTAAAGTGTCTTTTATCTAGAGCAAATTTGTGCTTCTTAAAGACTAGATGGTGTCTTATGCGTTCAGTCATAAACTTAAGTTTATGCCTAAATTTACATTCAGCCTGTTTTTTAAATATCGCTTTCACTGTTGGATACTAGATGGTTGTAATCCTGAGGAAACGGTTTAGGTGAGTTCAGAACAGAGATGAAGGTCAGTGTGGTTCTGTTGAGCTAGCTGTGGTCAGCTTTTTATCCTGAGTCCATTTGCACACATAACGAGGTTAGTGTATCCCTAGTGACAGGGCTTTCTACATCCTTTTTTGGATTATTTAGGCTTAAAAAACATGTCATATGTAATAGACTTTTGCTTAGGTTAAAAAGTGAACAAAAATCTGTGGGTCAGATTAGAAGTGTTTGACCAAGACCTGTGGGTCACAGTGCAGAGCCAGGAACATGCTTGACACTTCAGTTACTGTTTTGGTTGTATTAATTTTTCCATTTCCTGTTAACACACAGTAAGTGGGGGAAGAGTTAAAAATGTTTTGTGGATAAATGTTTTGTGAATTAAATCCTCAGACATGACCATGGGAGATTAAAAAAAATGCTTCATCAGAGTATAGAGGGATATTTCCCTGCTTACATTCTTTTAAGTTTTACTGATATATTCCAAAGTCTATCACCAGTATTCTGTCTGTGATAAAATTACTAATTCGTAAAGTTTTTTTAAAAAGTCTGCAAAGCCTGTTTTATTAGTCCTGTGTACTGCACACATGTAAAGTGTTTTAAGTATTCTTAAAAACCCACTTTCTGAAAACATCTCAAAAGATGCTGTAATATATTTATAATTATTAATGTGCTAATGGAATATGTTTGAGAAGTCTAGGTTTGCATAACGGAGTGCCAAATCCGGCTCTCTTTGGTTACTTGAGTAGGTGATTCTCTTAAATGGGGACTGTTTTACTAATGAGCAAGATCTGGCCTCAAGGTTTTCTGCTTGGGG